AATATTATTGTCTTCTCCATAGTACTAAGCCCCCTGGATATCTATGTCTTATATGTTCAAAACATGCACGTTAAGTTAGAATACAATTATTAGGTAACAGAAAAATACTGTAAATTCCTGGGCATGTTAACTTAAGCTTTGATTAAAATGTTACATTGTGGTCCAAAAAGACTTTTAAACTAAAAAAGATCCAAAGTAGTTGGCTATCTTTTAAAAAAATGACAGCGTTCTAAATATATTTCTTTTGCAACAAAAACCAAAAACTTTATACTATATATATATAAGATCTTTATGGTAGAGTGAAATATTTTCAAACTATACTACAAATTGCAAATTTAAATTCTTTAAGATATGCAATACAAGTCACAATTTATTTTTTAAAAAACTACACAGTTAGAATTATTTTTATTATGCAACTTTAAAATGAGTTCTCCATGATAGTCATTATGCATTTGGGTTTTAATTGTATCCACAGGAGAGAAAATCTAAGACCATAAAGAAATAACAAAGCCATTTTCTCTCTTTACAGCTAAAACTGAGTTATACTTTTGAGATTTTCATTCAAACTAAAAAAAGTGCATCATGGCTCAGTGTGGCAGCTCACAACTATAACCCCAGAGCTCTAGGAGGCCAAGGCCAGAGGATTGCTTGAACCTAGGAGTTTGAGAGCAGCATGGGCAACACAGCAAGACTCCGTCCCTACAAAAAAAATCTTTAAAATTGGGCCATTTCTGTGGCTCAAGGGAGCAGGGCTCCAGCCCCATATGCCAGAGGTAGTGGGTTCAAACCCAGCCCCAGCCAAAAAAGAAACTGTTAAAAAAAAAAAAAATCTTTAAAATTAGCTGGGTGTGGTGGTACACTTCTGTAGTTCTGGCCAAATGGGAAACCGAGGCACTAAGATCACTTTGAGCATAGGAATTCGAGGCTGCAATGAGCCATGAGCACACCTCAGTGACATATCAAGATCTTATCTCAAGGGAAAAAAAAAGAAAAAAAGTGAAAAAAATAACAATTTAGTGTTCTAGAACAAATCTTCCTCTTTGGCAGGTTTCAGTCTAAAAGACCACCACTGGGGTAGCTACCTAGGAAGTGATTTCATTTCTGTTGTGAATAAAAATAAAGATACAGAGGCGGTGCTCCCTGATACGTATCAACAATAAGCCTTCCTTTAGAGGCATCATCTCTTAGGTTAAATGAGATCATTTCCCCTATATACCTTCTTAGTCCCTCTTTTGTCATTTCTTGAAACTTGGAAATACTCTCAATGTTTTCCTTAGTGAATCTACTTACGCTTGTAACAACTAGTGGTATCTAGGAGGAAAGAGATGCTTCTGATTCATAACCTTCCTTAAATGAACTAAGAGTGACATTTCCACTTTCACAGAATGCACACAGACAACCATTCAGCAATTGGACAGGTTTCTTCTGTCCAAAGAGATTTCTTATTATTAATGACTCTGAGTAATACATGTCCGATGATCTATAATTAATATGGTTGCTTAGAAATGCTCAAGCCTACTAAAGTAGGATGCTAAAAGTAGTTTATAAAAATAAAACCGTGTATAATGTGTAAACTCCTGCCATTCCCACCTTAACTGAAGACTGAGGTGTATGGGTTGAAGGATTCTGATCTGGACTTTTGTCCCCTGTGTAATGTGCTGCTGCTCCAAGATCAATGGTTTTGGAGGGATTTGCTGTACGCTTGTGTCTGGTTGTGGTAGTCTCTGTGGCCTGTGTGATATGAATATGCTTTGTCGTCACAGTCTCCTCTTCATCTTTGAATTCACCTTTGGGAGATCTGCCTCTTCTTGCTTTCTTTTCCTCATCGCTGTCACTAAAAGATATTAGAAATAAAGCAAAGTAATAAGACTTGGGACTTTAAAAAATAGAGTTCTCAGTGATTTGAGCTAAAGAATTTCAAATGAAATAACTCCAAAATTTCATACTTTGACTATTTGACAGGGATCAACAGAATGTTACTAAGCTTCTGAATAATGATATGTGTATGCTGGGGAGGGGAAGTGGGAACACACAGAAGCCTCTTTTAGGTAAGTCTAAAACACTGCTACAAAAAAGCATTTACCTAAATGTGCACAAATAAAAAATGTCTGAAATAACTCAAGTTTTTGTTTATACAGATATAAAGATTAATTTAAAATAAAATAGAATTATTAGGTCAGAATCAACTGATGAGACCCCAGTAGTTCAAACATCTGCATTTGATGCACATTTTCTTAAAATGCAAATGGCTACAGTTGTTTTAATAACACAATTCTGTCATCAACTTCATATACTCATGCACATATATAATAAATTACTATAATATCAATAGTTTTTTTTTTTTTTCTTTGCAGTTTTTGGCCAGGGCTGGTTTGAACTGGCCATCTCCAGTATATGGGGCACCCTACTCCTTTGAGCCACAGGGGCTACCCATCAATAGATACTTTTCTATCCTGACTTTATAAATGATTCAATTCTCACCTGCAAGTGAAGAAAAACATGAGGTAATACACTTTACAACTGAACTCTATTTTACTATAGTATCAAGAGATCAAACTTTTACATAAGTATAGAAATTACTTTATAAAAAACTTATCTGTATTTAAAGTAATTCCCTTTAAGGTACATTCAGAAAATTTTTTCATTCTTTTTAATAGTAGTACAAAAGAAAAAAATAAGACTAAAAAGTAAAAAACTGAGTTTTTCATATGCTAGGAATGAAAATATCAGCACTTGTCTGTTCACCAGTAATAAGGCACTGGGTTTTTTTCTTGTGCAAATAGGACAGAGAAAAATTACTTGAAATATGTTCCATTACCTCTATTACTTAATTTTAGAGTAGGTGGTTTAATTTATAAATATCTTAGAGTAAAATGCTTAAAATTCTCCTTTAAACTATGACTATTAACTAATGCAGTTTAACTCAGACTAATCTAAAGCAATTTTTACTTAAATACAAACCTATTTGGAACTTGCATAAATCAGGATCAAAAAGAATGACTTCCCACACAGAGTAAAGGGGTTAAATGCCTTTTTACATGTAAGCATTTTAAGGAACCTATAAATTCTATAAATGTTCACAAGCTCTTACTAATTTCTCAACAACAAATGACCTAAAGATTTCCATTATCAGCTTTTTACGTAAAACTGAAATTTCTTACCTTTTTGTGTCCAATTTTATTTTGGTGCAAAGTAATGTATTTACAAGTTGAAAATATAAATCTGACCAGCACACAATGAAATGGAAGCTTCATATCCAATCAAGAGTTCCTGAATCTAACAATGCACTAAAAAGTCTGAAATTCTGATAATATGCAGAGGTAACATGCAACTTTGTCTAAAAATTTACTCTTTTCTGACAAACACTCTCAGAAGAAAAGTCCCTAGTATGTTCCCATTCTTATTATGATAAAACATATTCACTATATCTTCACTTTTTTAAACCTAAATACACTACATAAAAGATTCAGACTGTAAGAGATCCTATCTTAGAGGCAACATAGAAAGAAGACATTAAGGGACAAACAGAAAAATAAAGAGACAGACAAAGCAGGAAAAGCAAAAACTGAGGATGGTAGGACAAAGGAAAGAAAGTAACAGTACACGAACACACACAGTAGATCTCTAGCCAGCCTACAACTACCCGATCCTCACACTTCTGCAAGAAATATATGGCAGAATACAGGGCTACTATATTTTCCAAATCAAGCCAAAAACTTACACATAAAGGCAATAAAAATGAAAAAAAAAAAAAGTAGAATATTTTAAGTAGACACCATCCTTCCCAACTATTTAGTATTTATAATTTTCATATTCATACTGTCTCAGTATTTAAAAATGCAACAAATGTAGTTATTTAATAAATGTATCCAAAGTGCTGAAAATAAGTTCTGGCTCTTCAAAGATCACATTCCAGAAACAGTCTCGAAAAAGAGGCTTTCTGGGAATTTAATAAATATGAAAACTTTCTGAAAATAAAAAAATATATATTGTTCTTTTCTAGTGATCTCTAAATCTTAATTTATTAAGATTTTGGGAGTGGGGAAGAGATGGATATTTAGTTATAAGAATTCACTTGAAGGCTTGGCTCCATCACTAAGTGTGTTACTTTAGGCAAGTCCACAGGGTCTGACTGGGTCTCTAGTTTTGCTTCTAAAACAGAAAGGTAAATTCTTGCTCTACCCTATTTAATAGAGATACTGTAAGGCACAAATGATAAGGCCTTGTCAAACTTGCTTTGCAAATTAAGAGTTATACACATTGCCCTTTAAACTGGCAGAAAAATCAGTTTATAGCTATATTGCTAGGTAAGATACCTAAAGTTCCAAGTATTGTTCTATGTAAAAATAAATACAAATGCCTGCCATGAGAAAATGTAGTTTATAAAAATACAGATCTACACTTAAAAACTTCTAGTTCAAAATCCACTGGTATTATTTTTCTGGTACACACCAGCACAGACTCATAATGAAATGTCATGGGAAGAATTAAATTTTAAATCAAATCCTTTAACTTTTGCTTAAGTATATAAACATCATTATCCCTCAAGAATATCTTATGTCTCTCGATCTGATGTCCAAATACAAAATAACATGCAAAAGTTTTTACTGGGGAAAAGTATTACAAAGTTTGAGACCAGTCTGAACAAGAATGAGACCCCATCTCTACTAAAAATAGAAAAAGTTAGTCAGGTGTTGTGGCATGTGCCTATAATCCCAGCTGCTCGGGAGTCTGAGGCAAGAAAACCGCCTGAATCCAGAAGTCTGAAGTTCCTATGTGCTAGGCTGATATGCTATGGCACTCAAGCTTGAGCGACAAGAGAGAGACTGTCTTAAAAAAAGAAAGAGAAATATTCCAAAGAAAGATTACATAGCTTAAACAAAAATGTACAGGACACAAGATCAACTTCAGAAATAAGTGGACACAGACAACATGAAGGAAGGTATGTCAATTCTAACTGTAAATAATGTTTGACCTAGCATCTTAAAAACAGCTGCACAGTGCTTGCTTTGGCAGCATATGTACTAAAACTGGAATGAGACAGAGAAGACTAGCACAGCCTCTGTGTAAGGATGATTTGCAAATTCATGAAGTGCTTCATATTTTCACACAGGGCATTTTTATGGTGGTAAAGCTATTCTATATGACACTGTAATGGTATATATTACACATCTATAAAAACCTTCAGAACTATACAACACAGTTGAGACCAAATGTAAACTATGACTTTAGTTAATAATAGTCATATATCAACTGGTTTCCCCATTGCTAATGAATATACCATAATGATGTTAAGATGTTAATAACAAGAGAAACTGTGAAGGAGGAGAGATGGGGACAAGGCCAACTCCCTGTACTTTACCCACAATTTTTCTGTGAACCTAAAATTGTCCTGAAGAAACAGCCAAACTTTAGGTAATGCTAATACCCCAAACAAAAACAACACCCCCCCCCCAAATCCAGCTGCATAAATTTAGCACCTTTTCTAAGCAACCCAGGAGACGAAGTGTTAATACCTGCATCTTTCTGGAGAGTCTTCTCTATCTTTCCTCCGGAACTTGCTGATGGTGTCATCAATTGTGCTTCCAATTTTATCACTCAGTTCGCCTAATTTATCACTGAATGGAAAAGCACTCTTGTTTTTATCCCATTCCTCATCCCATTTTGATTTGGGCTCAGGATCATATCTTTCACCTATATAAAATATTAAAAAAAAAAAAAAGCAACTCTGAGGAGATTAAATTCAAACATGTCTACAGTCCTTATTTCTGAAGTTATTCCTCATAATAAAATTGTTTTCACAGGAAAACAGAAAGCTCCCTCAGTGCTGAATCAACACAATTACAGCAATGCACAGCATGTAATGTCAGTCATTAAGTGGCAAGAATGCAGATTCAAAAGCTTCTGTTTATGAAAACTTCCACAACCTTAATGCACAGCACTGTATATCAGGAAGTTCTTAGAGGCTACTCCAAGTAGCAATGGAAAACACAAAATCCAGCATAAGTTATATAAGCAAGAGAAAAATGAAAATACTTTTGTTTTTATAGAAGTCATTTAATAAATATCATTCTTGTTCCTTAATAGCTTTTTAGTTTGTAGAAAAAATATTAGATAGCAACAGCTGTTTTAAACAACACAAACGAAAGGAACTCCGTTGTGAAAGCTACATGTCCCAAGAAGCTCAAAGGACTCAGTAATTGTCATTCTTCAGCATCCAATTAGAAAAATAATTCAATGATTTTTCAGGAAATGGGAAATAACTGTAAAAAGAAAAGAACAGTCTACCAAAAACTACACATGATGGAATAATGAAGAATGTTCATGCTGTTCAAAACCTACTCAAACACCAACATAAAATACATGCTGAGACTGGCAAAGCCAGAGCCTCTGTGTGAATTTGGTTATGAAAACAACAGATCATGGCAATGAACAAAAAACCCAAATGTCAAGATTTGTTTTAATTCTTACCTTTAGGAATCTAAAGAGAAAGAGGAATTATAGACACAAAACAAAGCCCTTCCATTTCCATGTCCAAATTCAACTTAAGGAGCAACCGTGGAAGGTAGAGAAATCACCTGAGGTTTGGTTTTGTTTTTTTTAAGAAAATGTTGAAAATGAAGGCAGATTAGGAAGAAAAAGACAATGAGAAACAATAAAATCAAAAGGTGGCAAACAACTTTTGTTTTGAACTTTTGTTAACAAGTTCTGATTGCACACATGGCATCTGGAGACTGAACAGAACCATTTTACTGAACTGCTTCCTAAAACTGCAAGGTTAAAATTTTCTGTAAAGTTAGAAGGATTTTAAAATAAATCTATTGAATCTGGAAATGAACACCAACTTAAAGAAAACATGGCAAAATCAAGTTTTATAGACAAAATTTAAGCAAGGATAGTCTTTCGAAATAAATGATTTTCCAACAATGTGTACATATACATTAACAACATGATGAACTAGATTTTGAAAAGAAACTTACAGAAAAATAAAAGTGGGTGAAAAGCAACGTGATTAGAGTGGTGGACATTACAGTCCTAAAGACACTGGATATTGGTAAGATGTTATGAGTGTTAGAATGAGAAAACCTACAAAATCATTAACATTGCTTATTTAAGTCTGAATAATATAAACATAAACAATAATTTAACAAAGAATGTGATACAAACACACACAGTGTTCAACTCTACCTCTAATGTAGGTGGTATAGTGAGGTTGTCATGACTGAGACTGAAAACCTACTCAATTTTCTAAATTTAGGCAGCACCTGTGGCTCAGTGAGTAGGGCGCTGGCCCCATAGACTGAGAATGGTAGATTCGAACCCAGACCCAGCAACAACAATAAAAGATAGCCAGGTGTTGTGGCAGCACCTGTAGTGTCATCTACTTGGGAGGCTAAGGCAAGAGAACTGCCTAAGCCCAAGAGCTGGAGGTTGCTGTGAGCTGTGACAACACAGCACTCTACTGAGGGCAAGAAAGTGCAATTCTGTCTCTAAAAAAAAAAAATTCTGAATTTATCTGATAACGTGTATAATTAAATATTACACTGGGAAAAAGACGATACAGTCAAGTAGAATGGGGAAATAAGTTGCAAATAGCAATGTTTATTCAAAAACACATTAAACTGCTATAGGTACATTGAAAAAGTTAAACAACTAGGTTGGTAAATAATCCAAACACGTTGTATGGTTTTCATGTCCTCAGACAAGTAAAAACCCTAAAACATATTTGTATGTTTTAAGAAAAATAGTCTTACCCAATTCAAAAACTGACTTTTATGTGATACTTCAATATACCACCCAATAGGTACATAGTATGAGCGTACTGCACACTTCCCGGGTGAAGGACATACCTACAGCTCAGACTTTTAATACAAAAGCAAAATATGTAACCTAATCATATATAACCCGTATTAATTTGAAATTTGAAAAAATTTACTAGATTAAAGAAAAAGAAACATCCTTAAACAGCTAATTAAAGGCAATAATTTTTTCTTTCAGAGAAGGAAAGCAGGAGCAAATGAGTATAAAGATATTTTATAGGTAATTAAAAATAAGATTTTTACATGGTTCCACTAAGGACTAACAGGTCTCAACATAATTCAAATATAAACAAACTTAGCTATGAGTGGGGAGAACTGGGGCGCCCCAATTCACAGCTGCTAAGATACACAACACTGGACTGTCTGCACATATACAAAAAGACCAGGAGAGTGTCAGAACTCAAAGACAGAATGACTCCAGGACATGCTGAGAAAGAGAGTTCTTGTTTTGTGTATTTGCTTCAAGCACCTACTGTCCTATTTTAGGAAAAACCACATTCTATCATTACATTAAAAATAAACATAAGAGATGAATGTGCTAGTTAATCTTAAATGTGTTAGGACCAATATACAAAGCGATAGGCAGAGATGAAAAACTGACAGTATCATCTGTCACCTTTTGTTAAATTACACATTGCTTAAGGAAGGGAAGAGAGACTGAACTAACTTGTAAGCAGCTTATCTGGTTTTAGTCAAAAATAGAGATGAAATTGATTTCAAGTTAAAAAGATTAATCTCTGTCAAACTTTATATTTTCATGCTCTAAACCAGTGGTTCTCAACCTTCCTAATGCCTCAACCCTTTAATACAGTTCCTGTGGGTTGAGAACTACTACTCTAAACTGTGAGTTAAGAAAGCTTTTTCCCCCTTCCTTTTAAAAGAATGGTAACCCTAAGAAACTTGCATACATATATTTGTTTTATTCTCCATATATTACATCAAAGTTTACAGTCATTTAATTAGCTAATAATGGTTAAAATTATATTCTTAAATCCAGAAAAGTTAAAAATAAACATCTCCTAGACTTGTGATAGAAGCCAAAATGACTACTGTGTATTTTTAACATTCAATGTATTTCTGGAAAAAAAAATAACATTTTAGTTTCTGGTATTTCAATGATTTTTAAAATACATAGGGTGGCGCCTGTGGCTCAAAGGAGTAGGGCACCGGCCTCATATACCAGAGGTGGCGGGTTCAAACCCTGTCTTGGCCAAAAACTGCAAAAAATAAAAGAATAAGATAAAATAAATTTTAAAAAAGGTGGAAAAAAATATATATATATACCCGAGAAGTGATACTGAGGCTTAGGTGTCAGCCTGTCTTTGATACTCACTGTATCTGAATCCTCCAACACTGTCTGAGGAAACTCCCACATATTTGTCTTTGTTCTTCTTTGCTTTCTTTCGCTCTTCACGAAGCCTGTCGTCATCCTGGGCAAATTCAACCAATTCCTTTACCTTCTGGCGAATATTTATACCTTGATCTTTGCCATGCTCATCTGTGAGGATGGTAAGGGAGAAACAAAACCTCAAGAATTTACTTAATATGTAATAATTACATCTATAAGACAAAAACACACATACAAAAATTAAACATAAGAAACCAACTTCAATATCTAACAAATAATAAAAAGAGCCTAATTGTGCTATTTAACTTCGCATTTCCTCTTCAGGAAACTAAGTTCTAAAATGAAATTTTCACTAACAAGAGCATATGAAAAGGACTAAAAAGGACCACAGATAATGGTACTATGCAAGGTCAATTAAAGATCCACTAAAAAGGATCAATGATGATGACCATAGGAAATAGACAGATTCATAAATGTTATTTTCTTTTTTTATCATATTTTAACATATAAAAACCATCTTAACATTTTCATGACTAAAACGCATACTTGCTTTCCCCATTATGAGTCTGGGAGCACTAATTACTACTAATAAGCTTTAGTGAGGCTCAAAAACTGAATTTTTCAAGTGCTTACAACTGGGGTATACTACAAAATGAAATGTGCTTCGTTCTCTAGCCTCTTTCACATTCAAAACACACTCTGGCCTTGCTGCCTTTGCACAGTAAATATTATTTGGTGGGAGGGAAAAAACCCAGCTTCAAACAGATGTGTGTGTTTTGGAGCTCTAACCTTTTCTTCCCATATGATTAAAGCTATTCCTTTATGGACACCACAGGGGACCAGTCTCCAGTGCATATTTTAATATAAACCCGAACACTCATGTTGTGTTGGTTCTGTTGTTATTAGCCAGTCTTTTCTGCAAGTTCTTGTCTTCACTAA